GCCTGGGCTACAAAGTGAGCCCAAGGCCAGCCTGAACTGCATAGCAAGACCCTGTCTCAAAAAGACTCCCCCTCAAAAAGATACACATAACTTTACATTTTGCCATTGTACATTTACTAACAAAGCATACAATAAGTACATAGTTCAGTACCATTAACCATATAACAGTGCTGTAAACCATCACTACTATCTAGTTTCAGAACTTTTAAACACCCCTGATGGGAACCCTGTACCCATTAGGTAGTTGTTCACATATGAATTTAAAATTTTAATTAAAATTAAATAACATTTAAAATTCAGTCAGGTGTGTTGGCGCACACCTATAATCCCAGCACTTGGCAGGCTCAGGCAGGAGGATCACTGTGAGTTCGAGGCCAGCCTGGACTATATAGTGAGTTCAAGGCCAGCCTGAAGTGCATGGTGAGACACTGTCTCCTTTTTTTTTTCTTTCTTTTGGTACCGGGAATCAAACTCAGGACCTTGTGCTTGCCAGGCAGGCACTTGTGCTGCTGAACTATATCCTCAGCCTTGAGACCCTCAAAAAAAAAAAAAAATAAATAAATAAATAAACATGTACTAGTAAATTTTTTTTTTTTAATTTAAAAATTCCTCAAGCGAGGCATGGTGTACACACCTGTAATTTCAGTACTCGGAAGGTTGAGGCAGGAGGATCTTTGTGAGTTCGAGATCAGCCTAGGTTACAAAGTGAGCTCAAGGTCAGCCTGAAATGCATAGCAAGACCTTGTCTCAAAAAGACAACAACAAAAAATTCCTCAGTCACCTGAGCCACATTTCAACTGCTCAGTTAGCCATATTGCCATACATGTCCAGAGATAAAAATGCTAAAGAAACAACAAATAAAAGCGTTTGATGCAGGAATGCACTTTTTCAAAGAACAGTTACTTGGCCAGTCTGACTGGAATACAAAGAAGAAGAGGTAGGAAATGTGTTTACTGAGGTAGTCATGTGTTATGGCTTGTATCTAGAAGTCCCCCTAAAGCCTCATGCACTCATAGGTGGGGCTTTTCAGAGGTGGCTGGATCTAGGGTGTGTGAATATGGATTAAAGATACGTGATAATGAATTAAGGGTGCAGATAATGATTGGTTTAGTGTAGCTCTCATTGTGGATAATGGGAAGCTCCACCTTGGGTGTGGGTGGCACTAACCAGAAGGCTTACAGACTGGATGGAATAAAAAGAGAAAAGGAGGATTACTCCTTGCTGCCTTCTTCGTACCCTGCCATGGACTGTTTCTCCTCTGTACTGTCTCTCTACCATGTTGCCCTGCCTTGGAGCCAGCTGACTATGGACTGATAACTTCTGCAAACTGTGAGCTATAGTCCATCTTTCTTCCTTAACTTGTGGGTGTCAAGTGTTTTGCCACAGCAACAAGAAAGTAATTAAGACACCAAAAGCTGGGTAATCAAGAGCTTTATAAGACATATCAAAATTTTATTTTAAAATTTTATTTATTTGATCTTTTTGAGACAGGGTCTCACTATGCAGTTCAGGCTGGCCTTGAGCTCACTTTGTAGCCCAGGCTGGTCTCGAACTTCCAAGGATCCTCCTGCCTCAGTCTCCCAAGTGCTGGGATTACAGGCATGTGCCACCATGCCCAGCTAAATGTTTTATTTTTTATTTTTATTTTTTTCGGTACCAGGAATTGAACTCATGTCCTTGTGCTTGCCAGGTGTCTTGGTTACTTTTCTCTCGTTGCTGGGACAAAATACCCAATGCCCAAAATTAAAGAAGGAAAGGTTTATTTAGCTTACAGTTTGTGGAGGTTTCAGTCCATACTTGGCTGGCTCCCAGGCAGAAGACAGCAAAGCAACAGGAGCAGAGGCGGGAAATGGCAGCAGAAAAGCAAACAGCCAGAGCAAAGCGGAACAGCAGCAAGCAGCCTCTTTCCCTCCCTTACATTGTAAGCAGGCTACTCCTACCTAAGGGGCGTGTAGCTCTCACATAATCTCCATGCTTTCCTCTTGCAAAGGCTCAGGATGTATACAAAGTAAGCACCCTGGCTTCCTGCTGAGTTACTTAGCCAAACCTCTAGACTGCCCAAGTTGACACAATGTATCAACCATAACACCAGGCAGGCCTGTGCCGCTGAGCTGAATCCCCAGCCCCCAGCTAAATATTTTAGATTTTATTTATTTACTGTGTTAGAAAATGAAGCCAGGGCCTTGTGCCTGTTTGGAAAGACCTCTTCTGCTGAGTTTACCTTCAACCCCTGGATGTTTTTTTCCAACCCCTGGATTTTATTTATTTATTTATTGTCGTTTTGAGACACGGTCTGGCTATGCACTTCAGGCTGGACTTGAGCTCACTTTGTAGCCCAGGCTAATCTTGAATTTGCCCCGTGATCCTCTTGCCTCAGCCTCCTGAGTGCTGGGATTACAGGGGTGTGCCACTAAGCTTGGTTTAACAGTAGTTTTGAATAGTTTAAAAAGTCACATACTGTACTACTAGTTTTTTCATTAGTTTCCTGTGACTTGTTTTACATTTAAATATATTTTATACTTTTAAAAATTTTATACTTTTAATTAATATTTTTTAAACTTTTAATTCTAAAATCTTTAATAGAATTTACTGAAAATGATATTAACAATTACCACTTAAGGAGCAAGGAAAGCACTTTCTTAAATGCTTTAATAAATAATCTCATCTGAGCTTCATAATAATTCACTTAGATACTACAAAGATGTTGCTTGGTGGCACACACCTATAATCTCAGCGTTCTGGGAGGCTGAAGCAAGGGGATTCCAAATTCAAGTCTAACCGGGATTATTTCATGGTTTAGTGAGAACCTTTCTCAAAATAAAATATAAAAAGGCTTGGAGGCCGCATGGTGGTGCACACCTCTAATCTCACTACTTGGGAGGGACCATGAGGCAGAAGGATTGCCGCCAATGTGGCTACTGAAGCAGGATTTAAAAAGAAAAAGTCAAGTCTCCCAAACTTCCCCCTCCGTACAACTGGTGTACTTTGTTCTAATACACCTAAAAGCGGTAACTTTTTTTTGAGGCAGGGTCTTGCTATGTAGTTCAGCTTGGTTTTCAACTCACTCTATAGCCTGGGCTGGTCTCGAACTCAATTTTCCTGCCTCAGCCTCCCAAGCGCTGGAATTATAAACATGCATCACCACACCTGGCTAAAAGCAGTAACTTTTGTCCCTGTAGGTGAAATTTTATAACCTCCTGTTCCCATAACATCCTGTTATGCCTGAGCAGTGACACCAAGATACAAAACTGTCACAGCTTGACAAACTGCCTGTTTTCCTTCTGCTCACCCACAAGTTCTATGCCAAAGACCAATTCGCTTGATCAAATGTATAAAAGGTGGAACCTCTCCTTCCTCTTTTGCTCAACAATTTTGGGTTTACCAGCTGAGTCAATGTACATCTAAAAATAAATCCTCTTGTTTTCCCCTTTGGTCTTTCCTATCTTTCAAATCTCGCAACACTATGTAGTGAGTTCAAGGCCAATCTGAACTATAGAGATCCTGTCTCAAAAAAAAAAAAAAAAAGGTTGAGGATGTAGCTCAGTGTGAAGGCCCTGCAATTCCATCCCCAGCTAGCAGGGAGGATAGCAGACCATGGATAGTGATAGCCAAGGTTAGAAACAAAATGATAGCTAAGGTGAGAAACAAAAACATTATCTGGAGAAAATGGTGTTAAATGTAAATAAATCACAAAGTATTTAGACTTATTACTAGCAACCTTTCTATACAAACATAATAATGGTGGTATAAGGAACAAAATGGGAATTGGAGTCCCAAATGTATTTTTTTCTTAATTCTTTTTTTGACACAGGGCCCCGCTATGTAGTTCAGTATGGCCTTGAACTTACTATGTAGTCCAGGCTGGCCTCAAACTTGCTGTGATCCTCCTGCCTGACCTCCGAGGTCCTGGGATTATACGACATAGCTGAATGAGACTGTCTTTGCATAATGTTTGTCTTCCGATTAGCCTTTTTATTTTTAATTTTTATTAGTCTATGTTTACAGTTTTCATACGGATGAACCGTTCTCAGACATGTAAAATACACATTAAGGACTGTCACATATTTTTAAAGGAGGCATTCATGTCTTTTTTTCAATTTTTATTTTTTTTAGTACCTTTGCAGTATATATTGATTACAGTCATTGTAGGGATTTGGTACAGGGACATAACACATCTTAATTCTTTTTATGTCTCCTTCCCATTAGCCTTTCAGAGATCTTTTATGGACTTTATCCGTTCCACGCATTGTACACTGTCAGCTCTCAATCAACGTTGCCTTGTAAAGGTGCAAATGGACGCTGAGCTCTGACAAGACCCGTAGTACATAGGTTTGCACAACCCACCTGCTGTTCATTTTGAAATGAAACCGTCATATTCGCAGGGGTGTTATGTAGGCTAACTTCTCAGCTTCACTGCCTTCCCTGCCTTCTTCCCGCTCCAAATCCTTTCCCCGGTCTCAAAACTACTTCCCTAATGGTTTAACTCAACTGTCTGTGGACTTTTAGACACTCTTGAACGCCAACTGTTTCACGTGGATGCAACCTTACCAGGCTTCTCAGCGCACTCTCGCAGGCTCCCACGACGCCTGTCATTCCACTCCTGTGGTCATCTTACCACACTGCATTTAAATTCTGTCCACTCGTCTGTCTTCCAGGCTGTTAATTCCGGAAAAGTAGTGTCCGCATATCGAAAATGATACTGGTTTGGGGTTTTGGTCCAAAGATAATGCTTTCCCACCACGAGGCTTATTTTTCTGATATTTGATACATTTTCACCCTTTTGGAGCTGATTGTCCTTTGAGCCAGATTTCCAGGTGGGAGTCCATCTGTCTGACCGCTCGGAGTCCTCAGCCTGCAGAACTACCGCTGACATCGCGTGCAACGCAAGGGCATGAATTTGTATGACTGATCCAGGAGCGAGTGCTCTGCTTTCTAGACACCGAGCTGCAAAACGGACCCTTAGGGACGATCGGAGTTCCGGGAAAGCAGCCAGGTTCGCGTAGCTCCAGCCTCAGGGAGAGCTCTGCACACTACCTCTTCCAGCGCGCCAACCTTTAGCCCCGCCCCGTCCACCTCAGCCCCACCCACTTGGCGCGCCCACACTTACTAAACCTTAGCCGCCCCGGGCCAACAAGTTCCTAAGCTCCGCCTCTGGGGCGAGGGCGAGCTCCCCCTCCCACCTCGGCCCTAAGCAGTTCCGTTAATAGCGAGGGGAAAAAAAAAAATCGTCCTTTGCGTCCCTGCCTCTCCAATCCTAACGCTTTACTCCCTACTCCCCCTGCGACCACTACACTACCGGCTACGGAGGCCCCTAAAGTACAAATATCCCCCAGGCTCTGGCCTATCCTGATAGGTTTTTGTTTCTTGTCTCCACCCAGTCCTAAGGCGCTCTCTTCATTTTTCGTCAGGAATCTGGACTCGGCGACTTTCTCCGGGCGTCAGGAAATCCAACCTCTACGCCGAAGTTAGAACACGACCCCCCACCCCGCCCTCTTCGGCCGCCCACATTCCTTCCCTCCCACTTCGCTGAAGTGCGGCGGGAGGGGGAGGAGGAAGTCAGAGCGCCTGCGCGGGGAGGCCGCTTTCCATCCGGGTCTCCGTCTGTGCGGTGCAGCAGGTCGGTAGGCGGGAAATGGCGACTGGCTAAAGGAGCTGGTTCTGTTGCTGCTGCGGGCTAAGCGGGAAGGACACCCCACATTGCGCAGTCGGGACCATCGCCGGAGCCTGAGGACACTTCTCTGTCGTCACAGTGAGGTAATCCCTTTCGTCCAGACGTTGCCGTTGCCGCCAACCTTGGTCCTCCTCTCCCGGGGCCGCCTGCCGGATCTCCTCCCGCTCTCCGCCGGTCCTCAGTGGCTCCAGCGCGCCGGTGGGCAGGCACTGTTTGGCGCCGCGTCCGCTCGCTCAGGGTAGCCGCTCTCCTCGGGACTTTTCCCTGGGAACGGGATGGGAGCTCACTTCCCGCCAGCTTCAGCGCTGGGGCTGAGGCCTGTGTGGTGATTTCTGGGGTTAGATTTCACTTTGCCACCCACCCCCACCCCGATCTCCTGGTCGCCAGCCGTGTGGCCCCTCCGGGTCTGTAAGTTAGACGATCACTTTTTCTGAGCCTCGGGGCCCACCTGGTTTTTTTTAGTATTTCTGTTAGGGCGCTTTTAGGAAGGGTCGCTCTGTTTGAGTTCCTGTGAGTGTCTTTTGAGCATCTGGAAGAAGGGATTTCACTGAGTTGTGTTCACCTTCTGTACTGTGAAGATGTTGAGCTGACATTGTTGCTTCCCCAGATCCAAAGTGCTGGTACAGGACAGCCCATGTGGGAGGCCTGTGACTTCCACAGTAGTCAGTTAAGGTTGAATCTTACTCAATATTCTGTTTTCTTTATTAAATGCCTGTATGAGTGTTTACTTTTGCATTCTTGACCAGAAGTCTGTGGCATATAATTGCATAAGTAAGTCGTGTTTGTTTACTTCTCACCCTAGTGGTAGCTGGATATGTAAATGATGTTAAACCCTTTAGAGCACTTTAGGGATGCCTAAAGAGATACTGCTAATAAACTTTCCTAAGGTGCTGAAATGAAATGTACTTAGATGTTCCTTCAAGGCATGGATTTATCTTTCTGATGCTAGTAAAGCAATACCAAGATTACTGCTCTAACTAGGTACACAAATTAGTGATTTGAAATGATAGCTTTATCTACATAATTTTCAGATTGCAGTTGCTTAATATTCCGACTGATCATTCGTTGCCAAGTTTTACATTTTTGTTTAGTGGTCCGTCTGTTATCCTTACAAAAGCAGTAAAATGGCCAAGGTAAAGGTAGTTTTACAAATCCTTTTTCTTTTATTCATGTGAGCAGTCTCTTGGTGTTTTTCAGAATTTTTTGAACGTGTTGAATTTGGGGTCTTCACAGTTTTTTTCACCCCCTTTAACTGACTAAAATGACTCATGTTACATATCAGTTATTTATAACTCAGAAGCTGTCAGCTCTGTAGGTTCACTTTGGAGGACCTCACTATTGTTACCAAGATATTAGGATTAGATTTCAGAGGTAGAAATGCACAAACATCGTTATAGCCTTCATTTGGTAGATTTTTTCAAGGTCATAATTTCAAGGCAAAATTTACCTTGCATGTGAAGCAGGCTTTTACAATTGAGCTAGTTGAATGGGAGTTGGGAAGTGGAAGTGTGGGGGTGTTGGATACTTGTTGAGTCAATTTACCCAAGGAGTGGGGCCAAATACATAACTAAAAGGGACCTAAAATAAGTTATTGGTCTAATACAGGGTTTGTCTGTATATTAATGATCTTTCCGGGTAGTTTCTGATGAAATTTAGTTTATGGGTAGCTGAGTGAGCTTTCTAGACTACACCTTAAAGAATTTTCCCAAACAGAGCCAAACATGGTTGGTGGTCCGTGCCTATAATCCCAGGATATAGGAGCTGAAGCAGGGAGATTGTGAGTTCTAACCTGGGCTACAGTAGCAATTTCAAGGCTAGTCTAGACTAAAGAAATCTTCCAAATTGGAGCTAAGGATATATCTCAGTGTAGAGTGCTTGCCTAGCATACATGTGGTCCTGTGTTGAATTTGCAGTACTGGGTGAAAAAAAATCCCCCAAGTTGTTTACATTCATTCAGTACTTACGTTCCTTTTTTTTTCTTTTTTTCTTTTTTTTGTGTGTGTGTGTGTTTTTGAGACAGGGTCTTGTTATGCAGTTCAGGCTGGCCTTGAGCTCACTTTGTAGTCCAGGCTGATGTCAAATTTGCAGCGATCCTCCTGCCTCAACCTCCCAAGTGCTGGGATTACAGGTGTGCACCACCACGCCCGGCTTTGTTTTTTTAGTATTCTTTTCAACATGGTTTGAAAATTGCAAAAGCTGTTAAGTGGTGTAGTCCTTAATTATTATGGACTTGTAGCCATACAGAAATTCTAAATAGGATTGCATAGGAATACTGCATTTTATAATATTCCACTTTATACTGTGTCTTGTGGGGATTTCATTTGAGCTCAGAAAGTTATTTTCCCCTGTTCAGAAATGAAAATTTGAGGAACTTTTATCTTTTCCAAATTAATATAGCTGCATCCAAGTTTGTGATTTTGACCACTTAGCTTTTTTTATGAGATTATCGTACAACAGAATCCATCTTTTGTGGGTAAAGAATCTTGGATGTATTGTTCCAAAAACGATGCTCTAGACTTGTAATTTAGAATTAACTCTGAATGAGTAAAATAGTATTGAGTGCTCTTGGTTAGAGGAAACTATGCTTTGGATTAATGAGGTAAAGAATAAAGTGATTTGCCAAAATCTGAAAAAAAAAAAGTAACTGTATGTTTGAACAAAGAAATTCCTAATTATGTTTGTAATTTACCACATTGTTACGAATGCATAAAGTAGAAAGGACACTTTAAAACCTGTTTTTATCTACATTCCTACCCTCCCCTCCCTTTCGTAGTACTGGGGGTTGAGCCCAGGGCCTTCACAGTGAGCTATATGTCCACCCCTTTTTATAATTTTTTTCTTTTAAGACACCATCTTGCTAAGTTGCCTGGCTAAGCTTGAAATTGTGATCTTCCTATCTTAGTCTCTTAGTGCTAGGATTACAGTTGTCTACCATCATGCCTTGCTCATTTCCCATCCTTTTAAATTTTATTTTGAGACAGGATCTTGCTAAGCCGCCCAGCCTGGCCTCAAATTTTCAGTCCTGCCTTCAGCTTCCTTGAGTAGGTGGGATTACACGAATGGGACACTTTGGCTGACCATAAAGTATAATTTTAAGTAACAAATACCAGATAGGCTGAGAGGATCTCATTTCAGTGTATGGTATGCCCTTACGAAAATTCACTGATTAGGTTAAAAAGTTAACTAACCATTTTAAATTGGATTGGCTACAGGGAGTTATTTGCTCTACTTTCAGGGTGAGGATATTTATCAGATAATGAAACCTGTATTAAAACTGTACAATTGCCGCTTTAATTGACGTTTGCCTTGAGGCGTATATCTAAGCCAGACATAAATTTTCTAGTGGTTGTATGACTACATTAATTTTTAATTTAAACTGTATTAAATTATAATTGGATCTACATCACAAATAGGTAAATAGGTGGTTGAAGTGAGGTATAACTTTAGAATTGCCACTGCCAAACTTCATTTCTTTCTGTCCAGTGTCATAAGGAATTTCATCTTTTTTAAAGACAGGGTCTCACTATGTAGTGCAGGCTGGCCTTGAACTTGGCTTTTGTAGCCTACGCTGGCCTTGAACTCCTTGTGATCTCTCCTGCCGCAGTCGTTCCGGTGTCGTCGTCCGTGTCCCCCCCCCCCCCACGCCTTGCCCCACAGAACTCTTGAGATGCTGTTTAAAATTACAGATTCTCAGGCTAGGTGTGGTGGCACACTCCTCTAATCCCAGCACTTGAGGCTGAGGTGGATCCCTGTAATCCTGTCTCAGGAAAAACGAAAACAACCCAGAAATTCTCAGGAAAAACTTTATTATCTTTTAATGATAATAGCACAGGTTAATATATTGAATAAACTTGATGCCACACACAGGTGACTGTTCAGAGGCAGCAGAATACAGAAAGGTAATGTGCACTGGCTGTGACAAGGAAAGGTATATAATATAAAAGTGCATTCTAGAGAAGACAAGCATGAGGGATTGAACTCAAGACCTTGCCCTTGCCAGGCAGGTGCTTGCGCCACTGAGCTACATCCCCGGCAAGGGTAGAATTATAATGGGAGCCTTTGGAGTCCTTTGAGAATTTTATGAATCTGGCAGTAAGGAATGGTGAGCATAAGTGTGGCCCCAAGATGAATCATAAGATGTTATAGACAAATATAATTTGAATTTAAGATTGCAGTAGGCTAATTGACTTTATTAGGGGCCCTATATTTTAATGACTTCAGAAATTCTTGTATTACAGATGGAATATAGGCAACTATGTCTATCTTAAACATGAATTCTCAACAATGTTTTGACTTGGAATTCTAGTAGTCAGTCTTTTAAAGTAGCTGTAATACTTTTTAGAACAAGGAAATGTCTTAACTGTTTTGGTTAAAGAAACAAAACATCTGGGTATGGTGGTATATGCCTGTACTGTAATTCCAGCACTCTGGTAGGCTGAAGCAGGATGACCACAAATTCTAGGCAAACCTGGGCAATTTAGCAGTTAAACCCTAAAAAAGGCTGGGAATGTAGTTCAGTGTGAAGGCCCTGGGTTCAATTCCAGTACTGCCAAAACAGGAAAAAAAAAGAAAGAAAGAAACATAAAATAGTGTACTAGTAGAAGGCACTTGAGTACTTCAGAAATAATTGAGATTAAAATTTATTAGAAGTTTGTATAGTTCAGGAAGAATATTCTCTGAATGAAAATATTGAAAAATTGGGAACTAAAAAATAGAATTCGTTAAAAATAAATAATGAGAAAATTTTAGTGTTCTCATGTTGACTCGTGAAAGTAATCTTTAGGTAGAATTTTAAAATATATTTTATTCCTAGAATATATTATTTGTTACAGCTCCAGGACACATAAATATGTATTCAGTTTAGAGGAAACTCATTATTTAGTAATAATTGCTTTTTTCCTGGTATTTCATAAATATGTATGATTATCCTATTGAGTTGAAAGTGATTTACCTTTCATTGACCTAATTTAAGGTAATTATATAATGTTTTAGGTTTTTGATGTGCAGATATATAAAAATTTTTACAATACCCATAAGGACATTTCAAGCAGCCATTAATTGGAAATAAACTTTTTAGTTTTTT